AAATAATTGTTTTAGGTTATAGTAATTCGTTCTAATGATCCCCGAATAATTCAGTTATTTTTCGCCTAGATGTCGTTAAAAAATAAAAATCACTTTCATTAAGTGGCAAAAAAATGCGTTTTTTAAAAACTTCAATATAGAATTTACTTTTGTTTTATTGTACCATTATTTTGAAAAATATGCAGTATCACAGTCACCCTGAGTGTGTTTCGTGTTCAAAAAATATGTGTGTACTCTGAGGGTTAAAATAAACGCTGATTAAATAATTATTGTTTAATATTAACTATGATAAGATCATCCAGAATATTCTTCTTGACTATTACGCGCCACATGCGAATATAACAGTTGAAACTAATTGAACCGCCGGCGACCAAAAAGGCTTAATCGTGACTTTCTTTGGATCCCGCGTTTAGCGAGTTTCTAGCTTTTCAGGGGCTAATGAAAACCTCGTCTAAGCCCGTTTGGTCGCCGGCGGTTCAATTTATTTAAAAAGTAGTGACTTCAGCAAATAATAATATAAAAATAAAATTTTCACTAAATATGTTCAATTAATCATTTTTTCTTTTGGTTTTAAATTACTTAAAGAAATAAAATCTTAATTAAATTTACAAGAAAATTTGAAGAGCTCAGGCTTTTGTGTTGAAGTAATTGCTGAGTAGCAGTGATTTTATCATAAAAATACAAAAACTCGATTTTCTCCCACTTTCCACCCTCTTGACAACCAGAGTGGAGTACAGAGTATATGGTGAGTTGCGTGTTCACTCTCCCTCTTTTTGAAGAGTTAAAATGCGGGTTCCAGGTCCAGAGAGATAATTTCTGTCCCATATTTCCAACAGCATCAGCAACAGTACCAGCATCAGCAGCATTAGGAGCAGTAGAGGCATTCTTTTGGTATGTATTATATACTTTTTTTCAAATCCTTTTATTCTATTTTTATTATTTTAAATTTTATTTTTTTGCTTACAGATATAAAAAAACTATGGATTCACAAAAATTCAACGCTGTTGGTCGCATAGAAAGCTTCTTGCCTACAAAACCGCTTCCCGAATTAACTCCAAATAGGCTGTATGCAGTGACTAAAATAAAGAGGGTGCAGACCAAATTCGGAGGCAGGATTATAGTACAATTGGATGCTGCATTCACAACATTCCTGCCAGCAAGGTTGGCTAAGCCTGTTTGAAGCTGAACCTTCTTCCTATACGATGATAGAAGAAGCGGTACAGTCTCAAAAATTACAATTAAAATATATTGGTGGAAAATTTAATGAAGTTGAATTTAAATATAAATAATATTAAATATTATTATTAGAGTATAAAAAAATTATTGTAATAGAAAAATGTAAATATATTCAAAATGTGAGAGAAAGTAAATTTATATATTTTTTAAATTAAAAATTGTTTCTTTTTTTACCTTCATTATTAGTCTTACTACTAAGGGTATAGATTGAACAACAATAAAAAGATATTAATTTTTTTAATACTATTTAATTTATTTATTTAAAGTACACTACCGTAGGAAGTTGTGCGAACTTTGCTTTTTCAGCAACAGTAAAACTGTTTAAATCTTAAAAAATATTAAAACTAAAAACTTTTTTCTCTTTATTTTATCAAAGCTTATAAAATTCTGAAAGAAGTGACAGCTTGACAAAGAGAATATGTTAATTTTTCGATTAGATATTAAAGTGTCGGAAACAAATTTTTCTCTATATAGAAACATATTACATGAGATCCTAATCAATTGTCCGGATGTATGTATGTTTTTTGTTTAGAAGATAACTTTAACAGGTTGTAACGATAGAGTATCGTAGTATAGTAGCGCGGCGAAAAGAGAGAAAGTAGACAGCACTAGGTCGATTCCCAACTCGAGGCGCTTCTCGGGTGGAGGAGACACCTAGTAAATATTACTTCGCACTAACTTCGCGTCGGGCATAAATATTGGAACCGAATCCAATATCTAGCTTCTTCCCGATTACGAATAATAATCGACCTAGCGTGCACGACCCTAGTATCCGTCCGTACCGTCGTTTAGGGGGTCAATTCTAGAAAGTACCCCACGCGAAAGTAATATGCGTCGTCCTGACCAACATCTTTGCGAACGTGGTAAATATGTTTAAATCCGCGGGTGTACATCCGAAAAGGTCCCCCCTTTAAATTTAATAAAACACGGGTATTCTTACGTATTTTAGTGCATAGATTACGAAAATCATAGTGAAAATTGGCGCAAATTTGATTATCATGGTAAAAACCATAAAAAACCCCATAAAATAATGGTTTTTTACGATTATCTCGTAAAAAACAAAAAATTTCGAAAAAAGTTTTAGACAAAAGTTGTAGATCTCAAAAAAACACACATTTTATGTTTTATGCATTTTTTACCAAAAGTCATTATTTTTCGAGAAAAATCCAAAAAACGAAAAACACCATGATAATGAAAACATATACAGCAGTCATGGTTAGACATATTATTTGACTCGTATATAGTATCATATTCACTATTAGTCAGGATCTAACGAATTCCGCAAAATACTTTCGGCCATATCCACCCCCTCTCGACAAGGTTTTTTTTTAAAAAAAAAGCGAGCAGTACCTTACCCGGCCGAAGGCCGTGTTTACTATTTTGCGTTTACCGCTGCTGTGGACTCCACCCCACAATTTCCGCAAATTACTTTCGGACACATCCACCCCCTCTCGCCAAGATTTCTTAAAAAGAGAAGAGAGCAGTACCTTACGCGGCCGAAGGCCGTGTTTACTATTTTGCATTTACCGCTGCTGTAGACTTCACCCCACAATTTCCGCAAATTACTTTCGGACCATTTTTCTCGAAAAATAATGACTTTTGGTAAAAAATTCATAAAACATAAAATGTGTGTTTTTTTGAGATCTACAACTTTTGTCTAAAACTTTTTTCGAAATGATTTGTTTTCTACGAGATAATCGCAAAAAATCATGATTTTATGATGTTTTTTACGGTTTTTACCATGATAATCAAATTTGCGCCAATTTTCACTACGATTTTCGTAATCTACGCACCAAAATAAGTAAGAATACCTATGTTTTATTAAATTTAAAGGGGGGACCTTTTCGGAAGTATATCCATTTTATTTGCATTGTATAGATTCTTTTGTTCTTTATTATTTTATGTAAAACTTCATTTTTGTATATTTTATTATTATTTGTTTTAACAATATATTCTCTTTCGAAGGTTTAAATAAAGTCTCGTCAAAGACTACACCTCTCCTCTACATCATAGTAAGAAATAGTTCCGAAATTAATCGAAACATAGATGGCGCTTCACGCCATCTACCGAGATTTAAAGTAACTAGTCAAAATAGGTACCCGGACTCCATCCGGCGAGCAAATCCTTTGGCAATAAAAGTCAGATCATTACAAGGTTTTAATGGATTTAGATAAAATTTGGTAGGATCATTTATCATATTAATATCTCAAATCTGACCAAAGGATTTTAAAAAATATACAAAAAAAATTTTATCGTCTTTTTTCCAAAAATTTTTTTTTAATCGAAAAAATTTTTAAATAGAAAAATTTAAGGTTATATATAATAAAATCGTATTTCTTACGTCAAGACAAATATATAAAGTATAGTTTTAATATAAATTTAAAAAATTAATGAAAGTTAAAAAGTCACAGTATTCAATGTGAGTCTTTAAATGTATTATGGAGTGTTAGTAAACATTTTTAAAATTTTTAAGCGTTTTTCTCCATTTTGCGTCACTGAATTGAAGTTTCAGAACAAAGTTGCAAATAGTGGCAGCTAAATTTTCTTTTACATGATTCTCCAACTATTTACCTTCATTTTTATCATGGGTATAAAGTGGAGAACCATGGAGCACAAAACTTATTGAATTATTACGATAAAATAATTAATCGCTTGCATCGATTTTGTCTGAATTCTTGGAAGTATTAAAAATAATTATCCAAACCAATTAAATCGACTTAAAATAGAAATTCGTAATGTATATATACTTCTAGGATCAACCTCCATATTACACAAATGCCAAAAAAAATTCCAAGCAAAAGTAGTGGGCAATTCAACAGTAGCCAATTTTTCTTTGTTTTATAAATTTTTTCCTGCTGTGCTGACGTGTCCACTGACCAAGTACCCAACTAACTAATCTTCAAGTGAAACTTGCAATTTTTAAACTTTTTTTGAGGTTTTGTCCAGCTAAATCAGGGTTTCAATGTCTTACAAATGTTTAAATAAAAATTGCTAATTTTTTGAAACTTGGTATCTAAGAGTTTTTCTGGTCATTGATAATGAATACAATATCATAGTCTAAAAATCTCACAACTCCAATAACATTTAACTTACTATCAGCACCGAGGCGAGGGGGGGGGGCTAAGGGGGCGACCGCCCCGGGCGCCATTATTTAAGGGGTGCTGATTTTGAAGATTTAAAGTTTCAATGCGTCATTTTTAAGTCTTGAAAATATAATATTAAAAGAGTGGTTTGTTTATTACTTAAATATGAACAAATTTTTAAGGTCTTGAAATATTATGGTTTGCTGCGGGTAGAATATAAATCCATTAATAAATGTATCTTCTCTACTGATTTTCAAAATTTCTATTTATAACAAACCTGTTATCGCACCATAACGAAATTTCGTATTAACGCGTGTACTGCATGCAAGTCGTGTACCCACCCTTGTTCTCTACACTACTTTGTCCGAGTCCTTGCCCAGCGCTGAGCGCTGACGTGCGTGTTTACATATTGCCACTCAACTGTACACAATATATACAGCAATATTTTCGGCAATTTTGAAATGTTAAAAATAAATATTAAAGTTACCAGATTTTATTAATCAACGGTTGAATGTTCTAGTTTTCATTGGGTAATTATCTGCGATGTTTGTCACAATACATTAAGTTTGCTAACATTCAGTTAATGTGAAACAAAAGGTAAACATAACCTAGAATGTCTAAAATAATATTATTTAACTTTCTTGAATTACAGTTAGTTTTGGTTTTTACATTTTGGTAAATATGTCAAAAAAATCTGGAGCACAGAATCGAAAATTAAAAAAGTTAAGAGAGGAAGAAAATCAACAACTCGCTGCAACATGGAAAAAGTGGTTGTCAAAAGAAGAAAAAACAGCTGTAAGATCCACTTTAACTCCGATTAGTGAAGTAGAAGAAGGCCTACTAGATGAAACCAATGAAGAGAAATCAGAGATAAGAGATGAAATCGTCCATTTATCATTGTCACAAACTGGAGAAACGTCTACAGCTGATTCTAACACTTTGTCAGTTTCAAAAGAATTGAATACTAAAGAATCGATCGCGGTTTTTGATTTTGATCCTGCAACATGGAAGCGTCCATATAGTCCATCTTTCATTGCTTTCTTAGTAGAAAAAGGTACTGAACAAGATAAAGACGCTGATTTTTTTTCATCTGAGAAAGATGGAAGGAAATTTTCACCCATTTGGTATCAAAAAATAATGTCTAATGGAGAAATTGTTAAACGAGATTGGCTTATATACAGCAAAATTAAGAAATCAATATTTTGCTTTCCTTGTTTATTATTTGGAACATCTTCTACTCGCTCTTCAAAACTAGTTGACCCAGAGTGCGGTTTCTCAAATTGGAAAAAATTGAATCCTAAAGTCCCACTGCATGAAAACTCCGATGAACATAGAAATTCATATATTCAATGGAAAGAACTAGAAAGAAGGTTGAAATCAGGCCAAGTTATAGAATCTGATTTGGAGAAATCTATCCAACATGAAAAACAAAAGTGGCGTAATGTTTTGAGAGCTGTAGTAAATGTTATTCTCTATTGCGCGGACAATAATTTAGCTTTACGAGGATCTTCAAACAATATCAATGATCAAAACTGTGGAGTCTTTCTAAAAACTATAAAGTTGATATCAAAGCATGATCCAGAATTACGCATTCACATTGATGAATCAATTAAACATCCGGGGCGAGTAACTTATTTTTCAAATACTATTCAAAATGAAATACTAAGTCTTCTTTACCGTCAAGTAAAAGATGTTATCATCCAAGAGATTTAAAAAGCTGTATATTTCGCCATTTCATTTGATTCCACTACAGATATTGCTCATAAAGAACAAATGACCCAGATTATTAGATATGTTAAAATTTCCGAAAATAAGACTTGTTCTATTGAAGAGAGGTTTATCGATTTTATTGAATCGAAGGAAAAAACTGGTGAAGGATTGTCAGAAGAGATTTTAAACAAATTAAAAATGGATGACATTGATATTAAGTACTGCAGAGCCCAATGTTATGATAATGGCAGTAATATGGCTGGTAAATACAAAGGTGTGCAAGCTCGAATTATCGCAATAAACCAATATGCTGATTTTTTAAGTTGTTGCGCACATTCTTTGAATCGTACTTGTGTTCAAGCTGCTAGTGAATCACCAAAAATGATCACTTTTTTCGGTATTATCCAAAATTTGTTTGTGTTTTTCTCTTCTTCTACTGAGCGATGGGATATACCTTTGAGACATTTGACCATTTCATTGAAAAAGCATTGTGACACTCGATGGTCAACCAGAAAACAGGCTGTATGTGCAGTACGTAATAAACTGCCAAATGTCATTCAAGCATTAGAAGAGCTGATAGAAAATAGGAAAAATGAAGAAACCTATTCAGCAGCCAAGAACTTGATCAAACAAATTAAAAATTTTTTTTTTATATGCTGTTTAGTTGTGGGGAATAACATTTTGTCAGAAGTTGACGCAGTCAACGTTCTTTTGCAGAAAAAAATATCACTGTTACAATTGCCAGCAATTTGATTAAAAGTCTCCAAAATACTATTATGGCAATTAGAAACGAAAAATTTGAAGTATTACGACAGGAAAGTGTGGTTTTGGCCAGGATTTGTAGAGCCTGCATTCGAGAAAACAAGAAAACGAAAAGTACGAAGGCAATTTAACTATGAGGCTGAAGACGAAAGTGGTAATCTGTCTGAGGCTGATCAATTTCGTATCACATTTTTAGAATCAATTGATCTTATAATTCAACAACTGCAATGGAGGTTTGAAAAACTTCACAAAATTTCACAAGATTTTGACTTCCTCACAGGTTCTAATATCAAATCTCTGTCTGAAAATGAGCTTCAAAAGCATGCAATAGAATTAGCAAGAAAATATGATGTTGACTTAAATGGAGAAGAATTTTTAAATAAAGTTTTAAGCGCAAAAAAACTATTTCCTGCCTTATGCGAAGACTTCGAGAAAATGGATCATTTACAAATTTTGCAATTGATTCACAGTTTTGATTTGACATCGAATTATAAAAACATGGAGATAGCTTACAGGATATTCTTAACAATTCCTGTTACATCAGCGTCAGCAGAACGATCATTCAGTAAGTTAAAGTTGATAAAAGATTACTTGAGATCTTCGATGGGACAAGAGAGACTTAGCCATCTCAGTTTGTTATCGATCGAATATGAGATAACAAAATCGCTAAACATTGAAGAAATTATAGACGAATTTGCTTCCTTGAAAGCAAGAAAAGTAAAGTTTTAACTCCAAATTTTAATAATTTGACTTAATTGATATTGAGATTTTCCATTTCATTTTGTATCATTTATGGAATTTTAAAGTAAATTATTTATTTTGACTTTAAGAGTTTTATGTACAGTCTTCAAAAATATAAATTTATTAAAATCTAGATATTATATTTTATTTTAATCATAATAAAAGTTGATGTTCTGAATTTAAATATTTTGTAAATATTTTAATTCTTAAGAAGGTGAGTAAATATTTGCATTTAAAGGTAGTGTAGTCTTCCGATATTTAAAAAAAAATTGGGCAAGAAGAGGGGGGGGCACCAAATAAAACTTTTGCCCCGGGCGCCAACTTTCCTAGACACGGCTCTGCTTACTATAGACGTATCTAAATTACTTTAACAGTAATGGCTTCAGTGTACATTAACGAAAATTACCGATAATAAATCTTATTTCGGTTCTCTGTTCGAGGAAATTACATTTTGTGTCAAATGTACGAGATCAGAATTGTTTATTTGATCCAAGTTGCACGTAATGTTTTTTGTCCAATTATGCAACAAGCCGTTTTGTATACATTACAAAAGTATATTATTCACATGCTTTATACGCGCAGAGAATCACGCTTTCTTTATACCAGACACAAAATGAAAACTCTTAATAAATTTGAAGCTTAAATTCTGTGCAGAGTAATGGGATCTTGCGTGTGTCTGCATCCAGGGCACCTCCATGTGGTGACAGTGGGCAACGGTGATTGTCCGCTATTCCTCTGGATCAGAACCAAAATTTTTTTTGTGTGGCTGTGTAATTAATATTTGAAAGGTTTGAGTAAATATTTATAATTTAATTTGTTTATTATTTAATTATAAAGAAAATTGTTTATTTATTATTTATGAAATTTATGCAACGTCACAAGACGTAAATAACCACATATAAATATATCAAAATTTTGATTTTCTTAATTATATTTTATATAGCTACTGACACTTAGATAAACAATGAGATCTAATGGTGAATGCCTCCTAGAAATAGGTGGTACCGGGGAAATGAAATACCCGGCGTGGACCAAAACCAGAAACAAATATGAAATGAGTACAGTAGAAAATGAACTACCCCAAGGAGGAACCCCGAAAGGGGACAATACTCCCGGCAGTCTCCTCGTGAGTACTGCTGCAGGCCCCACGGATTTTGGGAGGGGCCAACGCAAAGTTAATGTGGAAATAACGGGCAGCTTTGAAGATAATATTGCTGCTCAATTTCAGGTCATCCCGCAGGTCCTGGAAAGCATGCGCCAGGCCTGCAAAAAGCAAAAAAATATCAGCCGAGGCGTTCAGGATGGCATGATGGCTCTGGAGGAGGCGTTCGAGATAATTCGCAGTAATCTGCGTTTTATTTCGGGGCCCTTCGGAAAACCGGAGCCGTCTACCCCAGTTCTCAGGGCGCCGGTGCTGATGAGAAATGTAGCAACTACAATGAGTAGTGAAAAAGATGGAAGAAAACGCGGCAGAGAGGGACCGGATGCTGGCACTCAGCCGGAGACACCCAAGCGCATTAGGAGCGGAGATGTTCCTCCTTTTGTGAGGGATGTCCAGTCGAAGGCTGGGAATTATGCTGCAACGGAGGCCTTGAAAGCCACCTGCGCTGCGGTTGCTTCCGGAAGTGCTACAACGGAAGGTGATAACTTTGAAGTCGTCAGAAATAAAAAACGGGAGGCCCGAAAGGAGAAAGCCTCCAAGAAAAAGAAGAAAGAAGAGGCTCAGAAGCGTCCTTCAAGAATAAGAGCTACAGAGGCAATTAAGATTTCGGCAAAAGATTCAGAGTCTTACGCCGAAATCTTAAAATTGATGAAAAGCTCGGTCAAACCAGAGGATACTGGCACCGAGATTCTAAAAATTAGGAGAACTCTAAATAAAGAAGTTCTCCTGGTTGTAAAAAAAGGAGGTGAAACCTCTAAATTCGCAAGAGCAATTACATCTGCACTGTGTGACAAGGCAGATGTTACAGCTCTCGTGAATAAGAGGACCCTCGAGATTGGAGATCTCGATGAAACTACTTCTGAGGAGGAGGTTGTTTCATCATTGAGGGATAAGCTGGGAAAGCCAGACCTGGATGTAACGTGTCGGCTTCTACCACGTTTTGGCGGGACGATGGTTGCACTTGTGAGTTTGACGGAAGCAGAGAGTGACTCTCTTCTTAGTCTTGGCAAGATTCGGATTGGCTGGATTAATGCTCCCATCCGAAATCATCTAGAAGTTCAAAGATGCAAAAAGTGTCTTATTTTTGGACACACGACCATAGCATGCAAAGGCCCCGACAGAACTAAAAACTGTCGGAGATGCGGCAGCGAAGGTCACTTTGCTAAGACTTGCTCGGTCAAGAAACCAAAGTGCCTTACATGCATGGACTTGAAAAAAACAGAAACGGACCACGCCGCCGGGTGCAGTTCTTGCCCGGTTTACAGGGAGGAACTGTCGAAGCTGAAAAGGGCAAACCCTTGAAGCTTTTACAGGTTAACCTGCATACAAGTAAGGTTGCACAGGTCCTCCTGATGCAAACAGCCAGGGAAAATGAGATCGATATCCTGTTCTGCAGTGAGCAGTATCGAGGAAGCGATCTCGCTCCCTGGTATCAGGACAAGGCGAAGAGAGCCGCCATCAAGGTGTGCAACCCAGAATTGCGGGTTGACAAGTTCCTGGAGACGAGCAGTGGATTTGTTTGGGTGGAGGTGGCTAACATACGTATGTATAGTTGCTACTTCTCGCCGAATGATCCACTGACAGACTTCGAATCCGAATTACAGGACCTCGAATCGAGCCTTCGACAATCCAAGTTGGATGTTCTCGTCACTGGCGACTTTAATGCAAAGTCTCCAGAGTGGGGCGAGACGAGGCTCGATAAAAGAGGAATTCTGATCGGCGAAATGATCTCCAGGAACGACCTAGTAGTTGTAAACCGGGGAAGAACATGGACGTTTAGGAGAGATGCGATCGGATCCATTATAGATCTAACGATCGCATCCTCCAAAATGTTTAGCCGCATATGCGACTGGCGGGTCTCTGAGGATTATACCGCAAGTGACCACCAGTACATCGAGTTCTCAGTCTCAGTGGGAGACACACGAGGAGGCAGAAGACAGGAAGCTCCTAGTCGAAAAAGCCCCTCGTGGAACACTAAGAGACTCGACAAGGAGAAGTTCGGCCAGTCCCTTCTAGAAGCCCGCTTAATTCAAGAGTTGGGCTGGGTAAGGAGGCCGAACAGTCTTGATGGGGAAGTGCGGGCGGTGAGAAATATAATCGTCACCGCCTGCGATGCGTCAATGCCGCGTCGCAATGGCACATTCCCCAAGAAGAGATCCTTGCACTGGTGGTCAGAAAGGTTGGCCTCCTTGCGAAAGGCATGTTTCAGAGCAAGAAGGACATATACCCGATCTAAGGGAGATCCTTTGCTCAAGGAAGCATACAAGGAGGCCAAAAAGAACCTCAGCAAAGAGATCCGCGCGTCGCGACGCCGTAGCTGGAAGGACCTAATCGAGGA